CTGCCCTGCCATATTAATATTCATAATGAACCATACCTTGTCAATGAATACTGTATTGAAACATCACATTACACACATACAGCTAAATAGAAAGAGGGCTGCTTATTCACTTGCTTTGGACTTTTTGGTTTATGGGTAAATAATTAACTCTTAAATGTGATGAGCACACCTCTGTGTTTCACGTCTCTTACTATAAGCAATAATCAAGATTATGCTGGAAGTTGTGGAACGTGCCATCATGTGATATGACTCATGTAGAATTGAGAATAGGCAGGCTGGAGTCCAGAGGTGCTTCGGCCACACCTGGCAAAAATAGCTTACCGTAAGTGCTTCCGCGACTAATGTATGATAGTGAGCTGATATTGGCCCTGTCCTGGCTGGGGGTAAGGTTTTATATCACCAAATTTGATGGAACATGATTTATTGACCCTAAAAACTGGTAATTGAACTTGCCACTAGGGTTCTAGTGCAGTGGGAAGTCATGGGAACCCAGTTGCCTTATGATATTTGAGGTGGGAAGGGAGTTCCCACAGTGGTTGTGGTGAAGAGAGGAGCACTGCTTACAGCAGAGCAGCATTTATACAGAGTACTGGGTATAAATGTAAAAGTTTATTCATTCCCATGCTACTTTTAAATCCAGCGTGCCCTGTATATAATATACTTGATATGCATATTAATTGATTTTGTCTTTCTAAAACCAGTTTTGCTTCATGATCATTTTTCGGCCTCAGGGAAAGCATCAATCACAATATTGTCAAATGGCCAAAGAGAGATCACCTGGAGAGCTAGGGAGGGGGTGGGAAGGAGGTTTCCATTGATATTTAACACGTATTGTACCTATACAAATATATCTTGGAAACACAGTTGCTGTAGCTTACTTTAACATCCATGTGGATATTATCATTGAAATTACCATTGTGATACACAATTCGCACACTGAAATCTTCAAGCGGCCGGAAAACATGGACAAAGGGATTGGAAGGGAAGACGGAATTCATCTCACAAGGATAAATAATTAAAGTGTGAATTGTAAAGAATGTATAATGAATTCAATGAAAACTTCACATTTTGGGGCCAAAATAGCCAAATCAAAAACAGAATTAGTTAACTTGGAGAATCTTTTCAATGGCCGATTTTAGGCTAATATGTAGTATTCACTTTCTCCCAAAAAGCTATGCTCATGGTTTACTTGGTTTGCTATAAACTACAGACCCTAGCTCATTGAATTATTTATCTAATTTTAACGCAGGAATTTTTCTCACTTGAACGCACCAGATAATATTTATTTTTATTTTCTTTTAGCGTAATGTACAGCATGTTCAAGGAGTTTATTTACAAACTCTGATTTGCGATAATTAGACCACATGGTTTGGAAAATTCTTTATTTTCCACAGACGGTGCACCAGTATGAGACACAGCCAGTACTCTGAACATTGGGGCTCTTTAGCACTATTCTGCAGCGATGTACAAGACGAGTTGGATGCACAGGAAAAGAGGTTGCTGAGGGCCCTGCTCAAAAGATCTTACATTCTAGAGGGAGTGTGGTAAAGTGGCACAAGAGGTAATGGGATGATGTATTTCATGTATGGGAAAAAGTAGGTTACTGGAATAGTTCACAATGAAGGGTTAGTCTTTTGGATGACACAGTTTGAAGAGTGGGAGCAGGGTTGGTTACCAATGTGCAGAGAGGGAAAAGCTACTTACAGTTTAATTGATATGCTTTACTAAAGAAGAATGTTTTTAATGATTTTTGAAGGAACTGAGACTGGGTGAGATTGAACAGTGAAGACCTAGAATAGTCTTGAATATGGGTGTTAGAGTTGCGAGTACGAATAGAGGATAGGCGTAGATCTTCTGTAGAGTGTAGAGGCCTGGTCGGTACATGCTTTTGCATATGAGGATAGGTAGGAGCAGTGTTATATAGAGATTTTTAAGCAAGCTCCAGAATTTTAAATTGAGCCCTAAATCTTATGAGAAGCCCGTGTAGGGATTGGCAGGGGGGGAAAGCATGAGAGATGTAGGCGGAAATAAAGATGAGCCTCGCTGTAAAAGAGCAACCTTGCAACGTGACGACCACTAGAAGCGGATTGCAGGAGTCAAGGACAGCAATGCATGAACCAGCACCTTAGCTACATCCGGTGTTACATAGGGCCATACAAGCTATGTTTTTGAGATGGAAGTGGCTTTAGAGGATTTAGAGAGTGACTGGACATGAGGGGTGAAGGAGAGGCTGGAGTCAAAGAGAACATCTAGGCAGCAACCCTGCGAGGGAGAGCTGATGGTAGTGTCATTGAGTCGGAGGGAGCAGCAGCTCTTGTGGAAGGAAAGACGAGATGTTCTGTTATGGACAGGTTAATTTTAAGAAAATAAGCAGCCATCCAGTTAGAAATAGCAGAGAGGCAGTCATAAACACGAGTCAGGAGGGACAGCCTGCGATCAGGAGAGAACCGTTAAATTTGCCTGTCATCCACATAAAAGTGATATTGTAATAGAACTGATGAGTTTACCAAGGGAGGCAGTATAGATCAAGAACAGAAGGGGACAGTGGAACAGCTACTGGGGGACAATGGTGCATCTGCCCTGGGGGCAAAAATCGAGATGGGGGATGCAGTGCGGCCGCAGTGCTTACAAAATACTAAAGATATTGAGTGGCTTGATGTGGACATCAAGCCATGCACAGGGCAAAACATACTCACATTAAGCTCCTCCCTCACCGTCAAGTGACGTAGACGGTTCTTTGGCACTCCAAAAATAGTGAAGAGCTGAAGGGCAGCAAACGTCTTTCGATTGCTATTGTCCTCTATTTGCAGAATTGCTGAAAATTTACTTCCTCATTTAAAGACATCTTATATTTGACATAAAGGCTCTAATAGACAAAATATTTACTTTCGCTGAGCCTGAAGATGGTAGATAAGACCCGCTGTTGCAGTCTACATAAAATATGTTTTTTGGGTTTTTTTAACTAGTTTTTACAATGTTTGAAAAGCATTTTTTTTTCATTTTAGTTTACTACAGTATAGATTCTTTAAAAAAAAAAAAAAATTAAAAATGGGAGGAATAGTTCAAATTTTGGTTGGACAGTCCCAATTTCCGGGTCCTGTTGTTCCCAGCTTTAACAGTCCCCAACAAGCATAGCGTGAGCACTGAACCAGTGCTTCCTGTGTGGTCAGTCCTTGGTGAGCTGCCCTACTTGCCTGGCAGGCAGTCTGGCATGTATTCCCTATCAGGGCAGTTCTGCCATTTTTGCCCGTCCCACCAACCAGCCCGTTACATAGGTATGCTGCCAAAACCAGAGTACAAGCATTGTCTCTGTCCTAAACCCTCATTTCACTTCATCAAGCTTCTATCATTTTACCAATCCTGACGTCGGCGCGAAGAAGCGGAGGTGGAACCTGACTCAGCGCCGAGAGACATCAGATAAGTAAAGAAAAGGTTTTACCCCTTTCAGCACTGCGGAGGGGGGATGCGTGAGGGAGGGGAAGACAGAGGTTCTATAGTGCTTGAAACAACATATGGATAGTAATAATGGACTGATTGTAGGGTGTATTTTTGTACTTGTCTTTTGAATAAGAAGCAGTCCCTGAGGAAGTCCCTGATTGGGATGAAACGCGTCGGATAGATTTTATTTGTATTTGATGCTGACTGATTTTTACTTCGGTGTAAGTAATAAATATATTTTTAGACTATACTTCGATCTACTTTTACCTTATTCTGTATGCACTTTGTTTTACATGCTGCTGAGACCTGCAATATCAACTACTAAGAGAGAGACACAATCTGAGATCTCCCATGATTGTTGAATGCCCTTTTTATTCAAACAAAGTGTGAGTGACCCATTGGCACTAATTATTACCTTATCTGGGTTTTACAGAGTTGCACTATGTTTTATCTTTATTTCCCCTATTTGGATTTCACCCTATTTTGTTTGCATATTTGTTAAAGTATAGAGTAACAGGAATCTGATGCATTCAACTCAGCTGACATGGAATTGTGCACAATTCTATCTTGGAGTGGCACTTTGATGAGTAATAAATGGAATGTTCTATCAGACGGTGGGTCTGTTCATAAACAGTTGCGTAAGCACAAATAATGACATTGTTTAAAATCGTCTAAAGTTCACTGAGTTTTCCCTGCGCCCTGGATTACATCATAAACAAAATTCATGTTAGATATTTCTCTTAAAGAGACAGTTTAGGCACCACAACAACTTAATCAAAATTAGGTTGGTATGGCGCCTTATGGTGTCAGGAGGTCCACCAACTCACTCTTCCCTCAAAGGGGTTAAACGCCAATCAGCATCGTTACTGCCTGGGGGCACTCCATGCTTCCTGAAATGACATCTGGGAGGGAGCTGAGATTAGCACTGGAGGCAACTTTGGAGTTAAAATGTTTGTTTAACCCTTTGAGGTAAAAGTGACCCTAGTGGCCTCCTTGCATCATAACAGCTTAATTAAGATGAAGTTGTGTTGGTGCCTGGAGTTCCCCTTTAACTCTGTTTAGGGGTGCATAGTGAAATGGTTTCTCCCAGCACTGAGCTATTTAAAAAGGAAACTAGGAGTTAAAGAGTGAATGTATTCATTATACAAAGCTGCACTGTGTTCCACTTTTAGGAGAAATGATGAATAAAACATTGAGCGCCTATAACGTGCCTTTAGCCCTTTATATGATTCTATAATTTCTTTAAAACCTATAGTAAATATTTAGCTATTTACATCACAATCCAGTTCAGTCCAAAGCACAGTCAGTGCACACATTGCAATGTAATAAAAAAATGAAAAAATCTAATTTAGTTTAATATTTACTGAAGGAGCTGTACTTTTATTCACACTGCATCTTATGTTCCAATGTAATACAAATACTTTCAATTTGAAAGAGCATTATTATTTTTCTGCATTAGTGATGTCCCGAACTGTTCGCCGAATGGTTCGCGAACGGTTCGCCACGAACGGTTCGCCACGGACTCATCATTGAGTAAACTTTGACCCTGTACCTCACAGTCAGCAGACACATTCCAGCCAATCAGCAGCAGACCCTCCCTCCCAGACCATCCTCCTCCTGGACAGCATCCATTGTGAAGCTGCATTCTTAGTGAGCTGTCCAGGAGGTGGGAGGGTGTGGGAGGGAGGGTCTGCTGCTGATTGGCTGGAATGTGTCTGCTAACTGTGAGGTACAGGGTCAAAGTTTACTCAATGATGAGTCTGCGGCGAACCGTTCGTGGTGAACCGTTCATGGCGAACCGTGGCGAACCGTTCGCGAACCATTTGGCGAACAGTTCGGGACATCACTATTCTGCATTTATTTTGTCAATTCTTCTGAAAATTATAAATAAAATTAAAAATTGAACTTGGGAATTAAACTTGAGCAAAGGTCTCAAGTGCAGTGGGAAGTCATGGGAACTCCGTTTGTTCCCTTACTGTATCTGCAGAGGGAATGGAGTTCCCACCATTGTTGCTATGAAGAGATGAGCACAGCAGCTTTCATACAGTGCACTGGGTGTAAATGTAAAAGTGCTGACCCTTCATTTCTTCCTATGCAGCTTTTAAAACCAGAGCGCTTTCTTTATAATTGTTAAGTTTAACAGGGATTTATTAACAATTTATACAACTAAAATATAATTTAGGAAAACAAAAATGTATCTTATTTACACAGACTGATCTCTAAACACATGTATAGTAGTTTAAATACGGTTTATATGATGAAGATTATTGCTGTGGAGCTCTGTTATACACTCAGAGACACTGCTGTGGAGCTCTGTTACACTCAGACACACTGCTGTGGTGCTCTGTTATACACTCTCAGACACACTGCTGTGGAGTACAGACAGTCACACACACACCTATACAAAACACAGTTATACACAAATATAAACACATAATCAGAGATGCATATACAAACTCATACTGACACATAGTCACACAGAGATACACACACTCATATACACACAGTCATACAGACACACATATTCATACACACACAGTCACACATGTGCATACTCATACAGACACAGTGATACAGACACACATACACATACCCATACAGACACAGTCATACAGAAACTCATACAGTCACATACACACAATCATACAGAGACACAGTCATACACATATACACACTGAAGTTAAGGCAGGTCCCAAAGGAAAGTATATGCATAATAAAAAGTCTGCACTTTAATAATACAATCATACAAACTTAATGTAGTATTGTGCATCGGCTGGTGGCAACTTACTCAAGAGGACTTTTTAAGACCAGGGCACAGTGGGACATGCAGGGAAGGGGGGAGGCAGTTAGGAGGCGGCTACTGCTCTGCACCATCACCCATGAGGAAGAAGAGACCACCAGGAGGTAACTACGCATGTTGCACAGTATACTATGCGACGTGCGTGCCAGATTCTGCTTCTTTTTCTTCCTTCAGGCGCGTTGCCTGTCACAGTGCCTGTGCTCCCTGCAGTGAAGCGCTGGATGCTCAAAGGATTCTTGTGGCTGCCAGTGAGGTGGCACCAGGTGGATTACTCAAGTAGAGTAAGTTCCTACCTGGTGGTTTCACTCCATGAAGGGTGCCACCCGAGTGTGGTCAACAGCCCCTAGTAACACCATTGTGCTGAGCAGATACCTACCACTGTAGCCTAAAACCAAGTTTGGTGCTTCACAGCTGGGTAGTGCTATCTGCAGAGCCTCAGTTACCAAGTTAACTATAGGATGGGCATGATGTACTAAACTGTGCACACAATATAATACAGCGCATGCATAATGTAAAAAAATATATATTTTATGTGGCTCATCTGGAACTCTGCAGGCAAAATAGTCTGCAGAACTGCCTTCTTTTTAGTTAATTCAGCTAGTGCTATGCAACGTTTCTAAGAGAACTTGTTTTGCAATTTTGTTTCCTTGGTGCTAAGAAACCAAAGTGAGAATTACATGAACTTTATACAAATAAGGATGTTTAATTTCTGGAGACAGGTTCACTTAAAAACAACAAACACGGTGACGGAGAGATTACCCAAGAATGACAGAGAGATAAATGCTGTTTGTTTGGTAGATCATTAGGTTCATTAATTCCAACTTATTTTTTTAAAACTTTTTTTATTTTTTTATTTTAAGATATTTGTACAATATTGATTGAATAGATTGTAAGCCATAACAGAGGGGGGACAGGGTTAAATGAACATTTGAAGCACCCTTACCACTGCAGTGCGCTGTAGTGGTTATTTTGATAACAGTGCCCTTGTGCACCCCTCCCTCCCACGTTGTAAGTAGTCACCTGTTTCTAAAATTGTTTAACTTGTTGCAGGGGTCTACCAAGCACCGCTATCTCAGGGCCGGCGCAACCGTTAGGTGAACTAGGCATTCGTCTGCTGGGGCTGTCGCATGCTCCCCCTGTCCTGGGCCGCAGTGCTGGGTGAGCGGATCTTGACCCGCCCTCTCCCCAGCGCCGAGCCGATCCTCCAGGCGCCAGACAGTGGGGGAGCTGAGATGAACCCTGTCACAGGGTCTAGGAGGTGGCCATTTGGTCACCTCAGGGCGCCCTCAAAGCTGTCCTTCAGTATGGCAGAGCAGGCACCTGCTTACCCGGATGGCAGGTGCCTGATCTGTTGATAAATGCTGGAGGAGAGGAGGCAGGCGGCTGCAAGGGAGGCTCTTCTTGCAGCTCCCCACTCCTCCCTCGCGTGCCGTCTGTGATGCAGGGAGCCGGAATATGATGTAATTCTGGCCTCAGCATACTAAACAACGTGTTGGAGGAGTGAAGAGCTGCCCCACACTGGACCCCAGGGAGGTAGGGAGGCTGGATGTCTAAGTATATGTATCAGTGAGTTTTTGACTGTGTTTGACTGTCAGTGAGTGTGTGTCTGTTAGTGAGTGTCTGCCTGTGTGTCTGTCAGTGAGCGAGTATGTATGTCAGTGAGTGTATGTGTATGTGTGGGTCTGTCAGTGAGTGAGTACATGTCTGTCAGTGAGTTTCTGTGTTGTGTGTGTGTGTGTGTCTGTCTGTCTGTCTGTGAGTGAGTGTATGTCTGTCAGTGAGTGTCTGTGTGTGTGTGTGAGTGAGTGTGTAAGTGTTTGATTGTCAGTGTGTGTGTGTCTGTCAGTGAGTGTCTGTGGTGTGTCAGTGAGTGTCTGTTTGTGTGTCTGCCAGTGAGTGAGTGTATGTCTGTCAGTGAGTGTCTGTGTGTGTGTGTGTGTGTCTGTCTGCCAGTGAGTGAGTCTATGTCTGTCAGTGAGTTTCTGTGTGTGTGTGTGTGTGTGTGTGTGTGTGTGTGCCTGCCAGTGTGTGTCTGTCAGTGAGTGAGTGACATGAGAGGGCGGCAAAATGGATCTTTTGCCTAGGGCGGCAGAAATCCTTGCACCAGCCCTGCACTATCTGCTGTTCCTTTAAAGCAGGGGGTGCCCAAAAGGTAGAGCTCCAGATATTGTAGAACTACAACTCCCACAATGCTTTGCATGCATTTAGAATGCCTTTAGAATGACAAAGCATCATGGAGGCTGACATTTTAAACCATATGGGGATCTACCTTTTGCGCAACCCTGCTTTAAAGGATTCCCCAGTTGGTAAGACAAGAATAACTCGAAGAAAGGCA